TTGTTAGAAGAGGATGTTTGTGGTTTCACTATGGGAAACTGCTTGCTTTAGTAAGGCTTTTTGCTTACTTGCTTACTGTGGTCAATAGAAGCAAAGTCCTCATCTGAAGGTTTTGTTCCTGTCCTCTAGCTGAAGACGACAGTTGCAGAATCCTAAAGGCAAGCTCACCAGTCCTGAGATTTGCTCTGTGCATGGGCATTTCCCACAGGCCTTTTTAGCTAGAGGAGAGATTTCTAAAAATCTGTTCTCTTGGCCTTTATATCTGTTTGGAAGGCTTTTTTCCTAAACTATAACTTTCTTCTTTTGAGTAAGTAAGCATATTTGTATAGTTTAAGAATAAAAATAATATTAATAAGTATGTTCTCTCAAGTCTTGCTCTGGTCCTGTTCACGCCCCCTCCACAATCCCTCATTATCTTGGAAACTTGGTTGGTTTCTTTGCATATGTTTCCAGTGTTTCTTTATGCAATTATAAGAACATTCATTGTTTTTGCCTCCTACATTTTTACCTGAAAGATAGCATATTATGTACATAGTTCCATTATTGTTGTTTTATCTAATAATATTTTCCAGAAAATGTCTGTGTCAGTACCTAGAGGGTGTTTCATTTTGTTTCTTTTAAACTGTTGCATAGTATTTCATTGTGTTGATATACCACAAATAGTTTAAACATTCCTTTATGAATGGGCACCTTCTCGATATTTTAATCATAGCTATTGCACATATAAACTTTTAAATACAAACAGGTTTGTACATTCAAGCAGGGTTCTTGTTTGTAAAGAGAAGCAAGCATATACCGTATTGAATATTTATGGAATAAATGCTTAAGGACTTGGTCTTTTACAAAAACTACTTCCTCTAGGAAGTTTCTCTGTGTTGATATATTTAGCACTGCTAGTGGGAAGATTTAGGATGCATACTGAGAGCACGGCTTTCTTTGTAAGTAGATCATGTTCTTTGGGCATCAGCAAAGTAGGAGCATACCACATCGCCTTTTGGGAAAGAACGTGATGTTGCTAAGAAATATAAAAGCCCGTTGCAGTCATCACAGGAAAAATCAGAACTTTGTTACCTTCTTTTACCATTACTTTAGAGAGCAGAGTCATGTTTATTTTGAGTAACTTGAGGGGAGTAGGGATTCTGATCTTTTCAGTGGTTAGCAACTATAAACATCTTAATTGGGCTTCAGACCAACTCTGTGAGTTTAGTGATAGGTGAGAAAATCGAGACTTAGATAACTTGACAAATGCTTCTTAGCTTGGGAGGGATAAAGCTGGTCTGATTCTCCATCAGGAGACTGGATGACCTCTGGAAAGTTTGCACCGAGGGTCTCTGAGCAGGTAGATCTTGTAGGTCAAGCCCATGGCAGAAACAAACTCAATACTTCCCTCCCACACCAGCTTCAGCTTCTGTTTTCTCAGGTTGCCTGGGGTCACTGTGACCTTCCCGCTGTCAGTGCTCTCTTTAAGGAAGGGAGGGCAGGGTAAGGGAAAAGACACGGACCCAGCAGTTCTGGTGGTAGAGTGTTGGGTCAAGGGTTTTCTTAACTACTTTCTGCTCAGTGTGGACTTGCCCCACTGGTTGTTCACGTTTCCACCCTTTCTGCCTGGTTCTTGCACGAGTTACCAGATTTAAGAGGTGATTGTCATTGCCATTTGGCCTAGAATAGAAGTTGGCTGCTGGGGTTGAGAATTTCAGAGCTGGAGATTCTTCTTCAATTCTGAGCCTGTCAAAACTGGGTGTGTTGGAGCTGGTGGTCAGACGAGGCTACCACTAAAACCAGGAGCTACTCTAGGGCCAGAAACTATGAATATCTCCTTTGTGTTTTCCTAACTATAACCTCTGCCTGGGAGAGGAGAGGTGAAAAGAAGAGCTGTATTTTTGCTGATAGAGACATTTGCTCTCAGGAAGTAAGAAGCGTGGGAGTTCAAGGGAAACAACCATAGGAAAGCCAGCTTGGCTTTCTCCTTTCATCACTGAATCTTGCTTCGAAGTTGATCTGTGAGGGTATGCACAGCAAAGATGCCGTAGGAATACGCACACAGAATGCAAAAAGTACTTAATTCACAAAATGAAAGCTCAGATACTCTGTGAGAATAATTTTCCTTTATCAGATTCAATAACTGTATTTAATCGAGACTCTCAAACATCTCTGAAATGAAAGAACCACATAGGAATTTGGCCTGGGGGCACCAAATGTAATCCTCTAGCTTTTGGTTAGGACGGTTCATGTCTGCGTTCTGCTCCCTTAGGTCTCCCCCAACCCATAAACAGGCTCGGATACCACCTGGCCTTTTCACAACCTTCCCCTTTATCCTTGACTCTGCTGGTCTCTCACGCCAGCTCTTGTCTTTTAATTACCAACATCGTGAAAGATTTTTTCACACTTGCTGCCTGAAATTTCACATCTGCTAGCAACCTCTCTCTCCCACATCATTTTATTGAAATAATTCTCAGATAATACCCAAGGCCAAAATCCCTTTCTCCATTTTCCTCCCTTGTGACCCCTATAAAACATTTGACACTGTTGCTCTTTTTTTAACCTTGAAACCTCTTCTGCCTCTTCTGGCCTTGACAACACACTTCAGTTTTCCTTCTGTCTGAATGATCCTTGATTTCTTCACGGGTCCTTTCTTCCCTGTAGGTCTCCCCTCTTTCACATTCCCTTCTAAGCCTACTTCTTCCCTCACCCTTGACCTTCCCCTTGACAAGTTCATTTCATGGTCATGGTGTTCACTATCACCTCCCTGTTAATAACACCCAAAGCTTTACCTTTAGCATTAACTGGTATCCTCAGTTCAAGTCTACATTTACAAAATTCTCATATTCTACTTAGATATACAAGTCAAGCCCAACATGTTGAGAAGTGATTTAGTTACCTTCCTCACATAGTAGTAAGCTCTTCTGCATTTCCTATCTGGACTTACTGGGATCCTAATCATTTAAGCTTAAAGCTGTAAACTTTTAACAATTCTATCATCACTCCTGCCATTAATCTCATCACTTGCTGGATTTTGACAGTTCCATCTCTTCTAAATCTTTCATTTAATTGCTTAAACCCCAGAGTTCTTAACTTGCAATGATATAATCAGATCCCAGCCAGCTCTTCCAGTCTTGTCTCTTTTTGCGCCTCTGGCTGTTGGTTTGAAACCTTGGGAGCTTCCTGGGTGAAATCTGAAACTGGCTCCTGTACGTGGAGGCAAGGAGAGACCGAAGAAAGAGGCAGGTCACTCCAGATTGGGAGGTGGCAGGCTTAGTAAGCAAGGAAACTTACGGATGAGCCTGGTCTTTGGTGGCTACAAGACTAGTAAATCTCCACACCAGCCTGCCAGTCTCATAAGTTTATTTAGAGACCTTAACTGAGTTCAGTCCTGTAAACCATCTGGCTGGTCGCAATAATACATAGCTTTCTCAAGGTTGCATCCTTAAAAGTGGCTCCCCCTGTGGGAACGGTCGGTGGGGAGGGGAGAGGAGTGTACCATGTACAGACAGGGGGAGGGGTGAGGAGGCTTCAATTGTCCGGGTCCAGCTTGCAGGTCAACTGGCAGTCATGTCCTCTGGATGATGTTCTCCAACACCTACACATGGCTATGCCTCATCTAAACAGGTTGGACCACCATTCCTGCGCATTTTTCTCTTGTGTTCCCATCTCTATACCTTGATACCTATTATTTCCTCCTTGTAGAATGCCCTCATCCAGGACTAGTCATAAGATGAGGGGCTCAGTGTGAGATGAAAATGTCCCTTTTTCAACAAAGCAGGAAAAAGAGGCCTTTAAAGGTACCAAAATCAAAGCTTTCCACTTTTTTCTGTGTATCTCCTCTGCTCACACACAGACTTCACTTACAAAATAAACTCAAAGATGAAATTATCAAGATGGTGACAGTAGAGAGTGAAACTAAGTGTGGGACCATGCATGTGACTGCAGAGGTCACATGCCCCTAATCAGTCCTGCCCTCATCCACCTGGGCCTTTCTCCATCCTCCCCTACTCCCTCCAAAGACAAGTCCAAGGCTGTCTCTGCTGGGCAGATTAGGAACTGTCCACGTTCTGCTCTGCTCCAAAGATCTCTTTAGTGGTTTCCTCCTAGCACTTTGCAGAAGTCTCCGAGAACCATTTCTACTTCCTGTTAGTCCTTTAATCTCCTACTAGTTTATAAGTTTCTTAAAAGCAAGGGCTACATCTTGATGCATCCCTGTAGCATCAGTATTCAGTAATGTGAATTACACATAATAAATGCTTAATAAGTGTTTGCTAACAATGAATAAAAAGAAAAGAGAGACGAGAACTGCTATCTGGAAGCCACATGCAATGTTTCCTTTTTCCCTCAAAGCAGGAATCACCTTGTGCACTAGTTCAAGTTCTCCAGGTGGCTGGCCAGTGCCTTCTTGTTTTCCTCTTCAGCTCCTAAATTAGTCCTCATGGTGCTCCTTCTAAGGACATTCCGTTTGGACATTACCATTGGATTTTGGTAATACATATATTTTTTAGTTTCTGAAAACGTATGCATTTACTCATTTTTTCAAGTATTTGGATAAAAGCCCATGTGTTTGGTTTGGTTTTTGGGTTTTTTTGTTTTTGTTTTGGTTAAAGAAATTATTTTGATGAAGAAAAAATAAATCTGAAGATACTTTCTACACATTATTAAAAAATAACTTATTATGTGGTAGTGCTTTTCAGAATGACTTTGGGAAAATTCTCTGTGTTCAAGCAAGTTATCCAAGATTCACGGAACTACTTTGATAAAGAAGTTGAACCACTTGATAAGAATCCTGAACTGCTACACTGGCTGAGTACATGTATCATCCCAAGAAAAGAAATCAAGTTTATACCTTTCTTCCCTCCAAACACAAATATGCCCCTTTTGTAAATGTATTTCAATCTGGAAATTCAAAATGCTCACTTGCACTTGTGGAAGAAGCTGCTTTTAACCAACACTATTAAGTGGAAAATATTTAAAGAGCAAAACATTAATTAAAGAAATGCACCACAGACACTGCATCACTAAGAAAGCCAGTAACTTTACTGAATTGTCTGCAAAATACAAATTATACCTTATTTCCAGCAGGAGAAACTTTTGAAAATTCCCCACTTTTATTCACTACAGACAGCTGAATGAAGTCCCTTGAGATACACAGATGTGGTTTAACTTAGTTATAACATCTTGTCATCTAGTGGCGACAAAGTCCAGCTTATGCCGCTGTGAGCCTCTATTTGAATATTTGTTGCAAATGCTTGTATGCCCTCATTTACAAGCTATTTTAATTACTGTCATGTAATGGAAACAAGTCCCCAGAAAAAGAAAAGGAAGAAAAATGATACAGCAAACCATCTGAAGCAATCCAAGTCCTATGCCTACAGCGACCCGGGTCTGCGAGAGAACACTAGTACTGCGTTCAAACCACAACGGAATCCGTCACTTAGCTGACCTCTCTGAATTAAACTGAGGTATGAATCAATTTGAGGTATGACTAGGGAAGGCAAAATGCAATACCCGATTATGAAAATAACCAAAATGGACAAATTGAATGTAGAAGATATGTGGCTTGGATTGCTCCACATCTTTGGTTAAAACATATTAAGAAAAGCCTTTAATTACATCTGTAGTCCGAAGCATTCTAACAGACACCAGTATTCCGTCAATCTTCAAAAGATCTGTAGTGGCAGGAAATTAACGCCATGTAAGTGACGACATCACAGCAGATGGCACAAATGGGAACAGATGAAGTCTGCCATGCTCAGTTAACAGCCTTTACTGAGGGTTCGAGTGGCTGCATCTTTAAAAAAAAAAAAAAAAAAAGCAACTTCTTTTTTTTTTTTTTTTTTGTAAAGAAAGAAATTACAAAGCATTTACCTTCTGGAAAAACAAACAAAAGCAAAAAGGGGGCAAAAAACAAAAAAACAAAAAAACAAAACAAAACAAAAAAACCCGCTAGCTCTAAATTAAAAGATGGGTATGTTAAGAAAAACAAATACATCAAAAGTGTGAGAGGGCAGACATTCTTTTAAAAAGTGTATTGGAATTCTTTTCTTTTCTCACTTTAGTCAACCTTAAAATGATCCGAGGATGATAGGTATTTTCATATTCATCATTACAAAATGCTAAATTCCACCTTTGGGAGAAAAATAAGCCATTTTACTAAAAAACACAATTTTAAAAAAGATTGAAATGACCAGCCTTCCCCTCACCAATGCATACAATATACAGGTTGTGCAGCTTCCCTATATTGCATCAGTGTTACCAGTATTTAAGCTTAATATTACCAAAAATCTTTCAAAATAGGATTAGCTATAACAATATTTGTAGCTGTGTAAAATGCTACTTAGGATTCTTTTACTTGCAATGAAGAATGTTGCCTAAAATGTTACTCTAGGATGGGTTATGTAAAATCATACTCCCTCAGGGCTCTGCCCTAAACTCCTGAATACAAAGGATTTACTGTGATAAAAACCCAAAACCATACTAGCTTTGCAAATACAATAAATGGTAAATTACAGATAAGGTAGAAGGGTAAAGAGAGACAGTGATTGTTTACAGAAAGTGACTCATCACAATCAAAATTGTGCTTTTCCTCGTTAAATCATCTTTAAAAAAACTCTCAGATTATCCCTTCGCTATCTTGCCACCACTTTATATGAATTCGGTAGTGGGAACAAGAGATGACTGGCATCCGTTTTCAAGTGATTTTGTTCTTTTCATGTTCTTATAAAACTATTGTCAGAACTGCTATAAATAGCCAAGGCTTCTGCTGGTACTTTAGCTTACTTTATCTTCAGCATTATAAATTCACTTTTCCTTTGTTGCTGAGGCAAATTGCAGGTAAAAAATTAATATGGCTATTTTTTCATAGTTTCACATAATGACCCTTTCCCACCCACTGGTAAATTTCTGCTGATATTGATAAAGTGTTTTAAAATGACAAAGAACATCTGTGACATGTTTGCATATTTTATACACATCAAGTTATAAGGATGGTTCTAAGGATGGAATCAAGTCTACGGTGAGGAAAATGACTTTCTTAGATTCCCCCCGCCACGTGTGAATAAGTGTGTGTGTGTGTGTTTTCAGGGATGATTCTTTGTTTTTCCTCTAAATAAATGATTTTCTTTCATGTTCCATGAATACCTTAAGGAGTGGGATATATGGAAAGGTTGAAAGATGTTTTTTTCTTTTGTTTTTAATATAGAAAACGTTCGTACAAGACAGGCTAGCATCCTATGTGGATATGACCAAAGGTGCGATGTGGTCTAATTGTGGATTTCAGATCAAGTTAAGAAAATACAGCTTAGTCAGTAAGGTCTCTTGGCTTTTGCCACCCAGCGGCAGCCTTTTACAGTGAGAAACACATAGCAACTATGCAAGTGAAAGAAAAGGATGGATAAGAAATGTCCTAGACATGCTATAGCAGTGTCAATCTTACTGTCTGGATCTTTGTTGCTGTGTATGTCAATGCACATGAGTGGAGATGAATCGACAGATCTTCACATTCCAAGAGAAGGAAAATCATTCCTAGATTGAAATCTCTTTTAAAACAATATATATCAACTTTTTTTTTATGGCACTCACTTTTTAAAGGGTCTGAAAATTAATCCCTTATAGACGAATATTAGACAAGAGTCATCGCTATTTTTTGAAAAATTAAAAAAAGGGACATAGAGAGGTTCTTTAATGGGATTTCTTGAAATGGCTATTAAATCTCTTTATTGAAGAAAAAAAATAGATGACATACATGCTTTATGCAGAAGTGACATTTGGGGGTCCTGACACACCGGGATTGTTCAACAGTCCTATATTGCTGACAAGATTGTTGAGGGTCAGTTAAAATAATTAAAAATGGATGACGAAGCAACTATCCCTTTACCTGCTTCCTTCTTGTCTAGCACCCAGTCTTTCACATTTTTCTTCTGTGGGAATTTATGACTTGTGCGTTGAGTAAACGCCATATCACTGGTTTCTAGGGCCATATTTGCAGGACATGTGCCCCAACACAGCTTCTCTATTCCGGGCATGTTTCTAAAAAGTGTCTCAGATTCTAGGCTGAAAAACCAACCAGATAATTTAGGATCCGGGCAAGTTAGGGTACGCACTTACTGAATTCCAAGATGCATGGTGAAATGGTGAGATCAGAAAGGGGCCCTGCATTTGGTAATAATGTAAAAACAAAAACAAAAAAATAGCATGAAAGAAACTCATTAGTATATACAATGGATGTCAGTTGACCCAGTAGATTGCTAATGTATTAAAAACAATTTAGGGTGTTGCAATGTGATATGTTCTAATCCCACAGGTTATCCTTTTGACAGCTGACCTTGAACTTATAAAACGTATGCAGAGTAAAAGAAAACAGAAAGAAAATAGTTACTCAAGTGTGCAACTGCACAAATATACCCCCCTCCCGCTATTAAGATAACAAAACTTCTGCTATTACCATAATATTATATATATTAGAAAGCTATACACAAGCATGTTAATTTCACAGATTTTTTAAAAGATTCTTAATATTTTATATAATTAGAAATACACATTTCAAAAACAAAACTTCTACAAAGAGAAAACAGTTATCTTGGTTAGCAAAGCATGGAGTTCCTCATGGCTTAGGGTAGTGCTTTCTATACAAAAAGTCCTTTTTGGTTTTTTACAGGACTGTTTAAAATATTAGCGAAGCTATCAAGGGGGAAAAAACACATTTTGGCTTAAGTAAACTACAAAAAGCCACAAATGCTTTGCAAACTCTGTCTTACCTTTTATATGAAAATAAGCAAAATGTAATGTACATATTTTTATATTTTTATTTAATAAGAGATGCAGACCCAGATTTATTTATTTAATTAAATACGTTAGCCCTCAAACTCCACATTTTTTTTTTTTAATAGGTATGGTCCTCTTTTAATGGTCGTTGATCCTTTTCAATGAGTGCCATACGCCAATGATATGCGTGCAGGTTTGTGAGCGCGTTCTCAGGATGTTAGGTGACCTGGTGCGTTCCTAACATTTACCAATGGCCACCCTTTGCCGGGTCTGTCCAAAACATCTATACATTTTTCTATATGTTGCATAACAGCTGCTCTCTCTTTCAGTAAAGATCTGCCGCTTTTGGCAAATGTTTCCTTTTGTCTATTTACATGTAAATAACGTTGAACCTGCAACATGACACTATCTATTGTAACATACATTTTGCAAAGGAGCACAACAGTGAAAAGAAGTTAGCCTTAAAATCTATTTTGTACAAGTGTTCTGTTGTACAACTCAAGTGCTAAGCTTATCTCAGCATTTCTGTTTATCTTTATACTGTATCACTGAGGCAATTTAAAAGTACTTTTACAAAACAGAGTACCTGACTTTTTTTTTTTTTTCCACACACAGCACATATAATGCATATCGACCCCCCTTCCCCATTAAGGTATAGCACACACACACACTGCAAGAAAAAAAAAAACTAGTAAGTAATAATCTGATCATGTTGCCCATCCTTCAGAGAGTCGCATGCGCTTGACTGAGGGACTTTCCCTTTCGTCCGGCGAAGGTCTGGTGAGTCCAATGGGGGAGTGGAATTCATTCCGGTGATCCTCTCGGTCGCTCCCGTCGTACGAACTGCTACAGCTGCTCAAGCTGTCAACAGGAGATCTCCCCGCCTCGTGGCGCGTGTGTTGTGGGTATCTCGAAGGGGTGGTGGTACGGTCTCTAGGAGGAGAAACAGGTTCTGACTTGATGTTGAGGCTTTGAGTAGAAGGCAGGGAGAGATTTGAACTCTGAGATAAATGAGTGCTAGTGCAAGCTCTGTAGGAGGAAAGGAAACCCAGTTACAGATGGAGGAGGCCTGGAGCCCCCAGGAACTCACAATTACATCAAACATCAGCTTCAAGACTCGCATAGACACCGGAGCATGCCCAGAGGGAAGAGAGCGTGCTCGGAAGCACTGGGGGGGCAGTGCCTGCTCAGAGCCACTGAGAATGCCTGGGAGTAATTACAGTATTTAACGGGGCCAGGCCTCGTGAATCATACCTCTAGTCTCTGACAGGCTCCCTACACATGCAGGTTACTGGCTCAGAGAGGCTTAACATGACACGCTGGAAAAAAGCATTTTCTGTGTCCATGGAATTTCTCCCTAGACTAGTTCCAAAATCTAACCTAAGATTTAAGATACAATATGTAGCTTTTGAATGAGACGTCTCTGACTGACTAATGCCTATGCGTGGAAATTACTGCAAAAAGCCTGTGACGGATATAAATGGTTCCCTCCACGTAATAAGTGTGAACACATGAAGTTGTACAGTCTTCAGGGAGAGGGAAGAGAGTTCAAATTTCAAGTGAATAAATCCCTAAAATGCTACACTTAACTGTATCTGGTGAAAGACTGGAGGGGGGAAAGACGGGGAAGGGGGTTGAAGATTATTGGCCAAAAATTTAGACACTTAGACTTCCTACCCCACTAACATTGGTCAAGGGCTGGCCCTTCTTCATCCTTTCTGTTACGTGGGACACAAGGGGCGTCTATTTTCCACAAGAACCTCAACTTCATCACTGCCATCCTCTCCCTGCTGCAGTGTGTAGTAGGATATCACTCAGCCTGTAGTTATGATTGGCACGAGCTGAGAAATGTGGATTTGTCTAAGGAAAAGCTTTTGTAAAGAAGGATCTAGTGTGCTTTCATTGTGTTTATAAGCCTTAATCCTCATTTATTCCAGGAGAGTATAACTTTCCCTTCTTCCCAAATGTGGAAGAATTCGGACACTTGGCACTCTGGAGGGAAAAGCTTTAAGCCCTTGGGTGTCAGCTGGCAACTGCAATGACTTTGATCATTAAAGATAAACTGGGAGATAAACTGGGAGAACACTGCCGACATCAATTTTAAGATGCGTGTACTGCTCCTGCATTCTGATCGCACTGACATCCGTGGCTAGAGTCAGCATTACTTGCCCACGTTGTCAAGAGAGTACAGATATCTCCCCTAGTGAGCAGTCACGGTGAAGAATAATCCATACAGATACACCCATTCTAGACAAAGGACAGTGAGCCTACCTACTCAGGGACGTGATTATGTTACTTTCAAATGGAGAGAATTAGGTGACATTAAAAAGTCATTATGAGCAGTGAGAAAATGGGGATATATTTCAGAGGAAAAAAGTGGAATAACTTGGGGTTGGCTTTTTGGGAGATGCAATTCAGGCTCAAGATGTATAGAGATATAAAATTAGTCAAAATGAGTTTATTTTTGAGTGATGTTTTATACAAAAGCACCACCTACTGGCAAAGAATTACTTTCCTTCTCTTAATAGATGAGCTAATGCCTAGAATGACCTAAAGGAGAATTATTTGTTTCCCTAATAAGCCTTTCTTTCTCCAGCTTTTATGTTATAGGATCAAAACAGTCTTAGCATTTATATCAAGTTACCACATTGAGTGCGTGTGATTTTCAATTGCCTCTTTATACTTGTCATTATTTACTTATAGTTTTTACTTTACACTGCATTGGTTTATTAATTTTCTAAGAGTTTAATTAAATAATCTTTAAATCAAGAAGGTATTAAGCCAGGGTTGGCGGGGGGGAGGAAACACCTGTATTTCAAAAGGATCCATGATGGTGGACTATTTTATCTGGGTTCAAAGTTACTTAATGATTCATTTTGATGTCAGAGGAAATCATCTTTTGATTTGTGGAAGAAAGAATTTTCCTGGCTCTCGATAAGAAAGGTTGTTTCACTAAAATTTAATTAAATGCTTCTACTATGAATCACACAACTCTTTAATAACGAACGTCAATTAGGAGTCTGTAAACAAAGTGGCGTCTCAACCAATACTTTGACTGCCCTTTGACATTTAGATTGCTTTTTCACAGGCAGGGAGACGTAGACAATTAGTAGAAAACTTTGGTGAGATGGACTAGTAGAAGCAGTTGATCTGGATGGATTAATTGATGCAAAAAATAGTGTAATCAAAATGCTGTTTCCTTAATGCAGCTTTTAGAAGCTGCATTATCTACGTATTTATGGCATTTCCCATTGTGAACTGGCTTGTACTGGTTTTGCGGCTTCTCTTCCCCATGGGAGATACAACACTCACTGCTTGCTTATCCCTTCCTGTAAACAAATAGGCGAGCCCCTCCGTTTCCTTTCTAGTGGCATTTCCTATGACACTGAAAGCACATATGAAGCATTTTGAGTAGTTCTGGGGACGCTAAATGCAGTCCTGAGATGTACGTGATGACTGAGACTCAGCTTCATTCTACTGTGGCGGAGGATTCCAAACAGAATGAAGTGTAATTGGCTAGTCTCTTATCAAATTATTATCTTGGAAAGAAAAAAAGCATTAAAAATCCCTTAGCTGTATACATGCTAGATTCAGATACAAGCATGTTGGTCTGCTTGTTCTTGAGAGCAAAATTTTTATAGACCCAGAGAATTGTGAAATACTCCATGTGTGTGGGTGAGAAAGAGGTGGTTGGGGAGACAGAAGCCAGATATGCAAGTTGCCCATCTCCACTCCTGCTGCAAGTTTTCATGTACTACAGATGCCTTCCAACTGGGAAAACACCTACCCTTCCCCATAATTGCTCAGAAATGAAACATGACTGGATAGTTTTATTCAAATTTCTTACTGCCTCCGCCTGGAAATTAGACTATCAAACTATATTTAACTTAACCTTTTAAAAGTTGTCTTTAAACACCCACATCAACAAAGATGGTGTATAGAAATGCTTCCAGAAAACAGGCTGCCCTTTTTTAAGGCGCCATGAGAAAAACGCTTAAAAATTTGAGGGTCATTTGCTCAAATATTCATATTCAAAGGACTGTCACTAACCCTTGATGGCAAGTTCCTTCTGCCAGTCATTTCTGCTTCCTGCATCAAATCAATGAATGCCATTTATCTGACTTGGTTAGATAAAATCAAATACTATAGAGAGTTAAAAGTACTGCTTTTAAGAATTGAAGGTATTTCCATCAACAAAACACGAAGAGCTCTTTTATCCTCTTAATTTTGGGAAAGAACTATGGTGACCATCTTGGGCTGCTGGGAATATATGCTTTGGAAGAGCTGAAATATATTTTACTCTACTCTAAACACTATATCTCTACAGAGGAGCGTGAACCCACCACACAAGGACATGAGGAAACTGTAGCCTAAAAAAAATACTGATTTTTTTGAATTAATTCACACTGTAGGGAATTAAGGCACCTCATATAATTTATTTTACATAAATTTTACAACTTGGGATTTTTAAAAATAGTTTAACATTTAATTGTGTGAACAAGGGCTAGTCCCTCTGAAGGAATCTTTTTTTTTTTTGAAAAAGCTACCCTGTGTGTGTGTGTGTTTGTGTGTGTGTGAGAGAGAGGGGAAGGAAGAAAGGAAGGAAGGAAGGAGGCTGGCCAAAATCAGAAGGTGTGGAAGGGGTATCCTATCTATTTGAGGGATAAGGGAAGTGATTAAAAGTGCAATAAAAACTCATAGACCGGGCGCCTGGGTGGCTCAGTGGGTTAAGCCACTGCCTTCGGCTCAGGTCATGATCCCAGGTCCTGGGTTCAAGCCCTGCATCGGGCTTTCTGCTCAGCAGGGAGCCTGCTTCCTCCTCTCTCTCTGCCTGCCTCTCTGCCTGCTTGTGATTTCTCTCTGTCAAATAAATAAATAAAATCTTAAAAAAAAAAAAACCAAAAAAAAACTCATAGACCAAGTTCAGAGTCAAATACTGCACCATGAGAACCGTTGTTGAAAGAAACCGGAACTAAACAAAATGCTTCATCCCTGGCTGTTGTAATTTGGTTTCTCTGTAGGCCAGTTCTCTCCCTTCTCATTTACTGAAGCTTTTATTAAGGGCAGCAGAGAATTAGATTCTTCCCATGTAATAGAAATGACTTTTAAGATTACAGTATAGTTAAAATACATACATTAATATGTAAAATGCAAATTGTTGGGTGTTACAAAAAACAAAAGAAAGCCACATTCAGATAAAAATAATACGGCTTTTGACATCGATAATTTTTAAGGAAATCTAGTCCTCTAATGGATGAATTTTGTGAAACATGAGATGTGAACAGCTGCCTTGATCTTTGCCAAGAAGCACGTACAGTGGATTCACTGCTTAGCCCTAGCGGTGCGACACCGCATGTATGTACTTCAAGATTGCCTGGATGGTATCGTGTACTCAGTCATAATTATCTCAAAAAGTTATTGCAGTAAATGTCTACTTGCATAGTTAACAATTCTGAGAAAATTTAAATGTCCTAAAAGGAGAAACTCTGTTGCTGATCAGTATTTAATATATCTTCAAAGTTAACAATCTTTTAAGAAAGCACAGCAATAATATCATGTAAATTTATTTTATTGTTTCCATGGAAGGTTAGATTTTCAACAACAATGATCAGTGAGCAGGATGCACATAAGCAAATAGTGAATGGGGGAAGACTCTATTACTAGAGCACTCATCTATGTGAAATCAATTCCACAAGAAAGCTAGGAGGGCAGGGAGGATAAGAGATGAAGTTGTGATGTCAGGGATTTTTATTCTAATCAGTGTTTTATTCTCATTTCTTTAGAACCAGAAGCATAGAGCTAGCTAACTATTCTAACCACATGGCTTGGCAGAAAAGTAAAAACGAGGTAGGCATATAGAGTGTTTCTAAAATATAAGCTCTTATCTTTCAATATTTTATATCTTCCTAGTATTTTCTTCTGAAGATTAACTGCAGTTATGGAGTTATTAGTTAAACTTAAAGTCAGATCTTTGATTCACGTTTAAGCTTAAAAAACCATCTGTTTTACAAGGAGTGTGAATTATGAATTCAGGGCTTTTTAAAGGTTTGAACATTTCTATACATAAATGACAGGAGTCATTTTTATGATAAAGACATTTCTCAAAATTACCACAAGGGGGCAGAAATACACATATTCTGATTTCAGAAAACAACAGAAATTATTTTTATACCCAAATTTAGGCAATTAGTGTATGCGCACATACACATATATTTATATTTGTGCAATATCTATAAATATATAACCATATGATGAGTACATTATAAATATATGAAATCAATGGAATAGGAGATCCTGTCAGTACTAGGTTAAGGTTAGCATAAATTAGATGGTGTATGCTGAGTGATAAGGGTTCACAAATACATCTAAAATTTAAAGGACTTATAAGTGTCTTCTTATGTCCCACGTGAGCTATATGAAAAGTCAACTAAATGAAAGTTTTTCATTGATCAAAGTGGAAACCAATATAGCCTAAAACAATAGGGAAGTAATGTATCTCATTATCACAGAGCTCCCCTTCTCTCAAAAAATAAGGAAAGGAATATCTAACTGACTTAAAAGATACTGATCTGATAATTACTTTCCCATTCTGATAAAGTAGAATTTTACATCCTTTAATGGGACACTAGAGCACAGTATCTAGAGACTGCTGTTGTCATCCAAGAACACATTCTCAAAGTGTTTTATAATAGAAATAATATTGCTTACCCCAGCTGACTGAGGGCGGATGGCGGCATGTTATGTAGGTGTTGCTGTTGCCAGCCAGTTACTGACCCAAGATGGAGAGCGCTGGCGGTGTTAAACCCAGACAGAGATGACAGGTCTGCACTACTCAGAGAGTACTCTAGACCAATAAATAAAACAATGAGGGAAAACACTCAATTTGAAAATTATCAAACGGTAAATACACATTTCCAGTTCAAAAATACTCTTATTAGTATCATGTAATGATTATTATAAACTCTCTTACTCTCGGGGTAGAAGGAGATAAAGCATCAGGAGCAATTTTAATTTAAAAGAGATGTCTCGTTTACCAAAAAATAAGTATTCCATAAAAGCTTTAAAGTAGCACAGCTTGCAATTTTAGTTTACTAGAACTACAACCTGGCATTACAGGACACACATCTTTGATGATCTAGAAATGTTTTTTAAACAATCCTGAGAAAGTGAACTTTCTATTATATCCAAGAAATAATGGCTCATTTTCCTTGAAATTGGTCTTTTATATTGAATTCAGGTCAGGTCAGTAAAACTTTCAGTCACTTAAGAAAGAAAAATAGGGATATTCACTTTGTCTTAGTAACATATAGGTAATGGTATAGTCAGTGGATGCCACAGGTACTAAATGAAGTTTCCTAATAGACTAAAGAGTGATATTTTTTTTAAATCTTGCTTTTTAATAAAAAGTATTTAATGCACTATTTGAACATGGTAAAGCTACTCACCGGTACCATATGTTGTTGAAATGGCTGATGGATATCCTCCCATCCCTTGTCCTGGTAAAGTAGGAGTTGCTACGGAAACCACTGGGGTAGCCAATGACTGAGCAGACTGGGAGTTATTTATCCTTTGATTCTTTTAAAGTAAATAAAGAGACATTATTGATAGAATTTTTTAAAGTTAAAAATATTAGATTTCAGTATTAATTTTGTGTATAAAGAAATAACTTGGTACAAGTCTCATGAAATTAATCATTTAGCATGTGTCTCTATGAACTCTGCCAACCCTATCATTTACAATCCTTCAAGAGACCAGTTGTTGCCATAGTAACCCATTACATCAGTATCTCCTAGGCAACTGAACTAGTAACAAGTACCATAAGCTTTATTATGGGTAAAAACAGACTATGTTGAAAACTGATGAAATATGTATACTGTACTCCATTGTTTCAGTTTTTATTCAAATGCAAATTTAAAAAAATTAAAATCAACCATGGTGGTTTTTATGCTCAGTTCTATACACAGCAGAGCAGATGAGTGGAATTTCATGCTACATTCTGACCAGCAGGTGGTGCTCTGACCACTTTTTTCAGATTTTCTAAACTTCCCTCAGAACTAAATGGCAAAGCAGCTAACATGTATATTTAACTCCTTACAGCAAGAAGATTAAAGATTCACATACATTTAAAAATCATGACAGTTTGAATTCTTAGAAAAATAAGTATCTTCATGGTTTAAATAAGGAAATTATTTTTGTTACAATTTTACAATAAATCAAGTCCTAAAATAAACTGAAAACATGGTCTTCTCTTGCAAAGGTTGAGACAGAAAAATAAATAACCTGACATTGTTTTCAGGTGTGTGATACTTGAAATTAATGGCATTTAAATATGATTCATTTGGACACACTATGGTAACTTCTGAAATCTTCCCATTTTACTAGAGCCACCTCACCTAAAAGTCACCTTGGGTTTCTCCTTGCAGGTGCCATTTAAGGGAAGTACTCTTACTACTTACCAAAAGCAGGTCGACATCCTCAGACTGAGAGCATGGGGAAGGAGTTTTATTAATTAGTGTCTGTAAATATTTATAATTGGGCAAAATCTTTTCAACAAAAGGCAAAGCATCTTCTGATAGACACAACAGTTTAAACAATTTTAAAACCTAGACTCTACAGATAACTCCTTACAAAGACATTCTTTGTTTCCCTTAATGAGCTGTTTGTCTCCAATGTGAAGACAATCTATCCAGTTTTCTGCACAGGTCAGTGTCTCAACCTTCATTATTTCAGCACCACGTTTTGAAAAAAAAAAAAAAAAAGATTGTATTTTGAAACCCCACTTGCTGGAGGAGGGGGGGTGGCGCTGCACCTGGCTGCTGGTGAGAGGCTGGTTGTAGGACCACTCACAGGATCCCTGGGAGAACATCAGTTTTAAGGAACTTAGAATAAATCTGCGGATAGAGACAGCCTGCCATGCATGGCCCACACCGCTTGGCTATGGCCCTGTGGGAGGTTTTATTTATTAGACCCAGTCTTTCCGAAGGGAATGTTGCATATTATGTGATTTTTTTTTTGGTTGATATTCAAAATTAATCTGCACTGTGCCATAATAAACTAATCAGCTTGCAGGACTGTTTTACCCTGAAGCTTGCCACAGAGCACAGAATGAAAAAAAAGAAATGTGTTTGCAGAATGATCTAAATTTGTCTACTGAATCTTGGTTTTAAATGTTCTCGCTCTTAAGCAAAGCTAATTTGGAGAACACTGATGTAAGTCTCTTTGTTATTGAATTTGGTCCCACACTTATTATCTTCGTCTTAGCCCTGCAGACCCAGGAGAAAGGAAAATGAGAGAGTCCAGGGATATTATTTATACTTCTTAATTATTTTTTTATTTATTTTTTCTTACAGTGCCAACTTTTTTTTTTTTTTTTGATGTAAAATATAACCTTTGTTCTCAGAATGCCTAGGATTTTAAAACAATTTGCTTTTCAGAGGTAGTTATTTGCATGAAGGGCATATATGGAAAGATGAACTAGGCAATGCATAGGTATGCGCTATAGTAATATACCTAAGAAAAGAATGGCCAGCTACTAACATGAGAACATTCATTTAGAAATTATGGAAAAGATTTTTGGTTGTCAGCACCTTGAGGACATAACTAATTCAGTATTATAAAAATCTGTTATGAAATTCCCTATTTTGTGAGTTTGATTCTACCATTGGTCAAACTGTATGCACCATAAGCAGTAGTAAGTCATGATTTTTTTCTAATTATAAATTGCAGGTCTTAAAAAAAGGAAATGCTTTTTTTGGTCCCAGAACACGAGTTTTAGAGGGGAGTTTATTGGATGTTGGTTTTTTGTTTTTGATTTTTTTTTTTTTTAACATGGAAAAGGGAAATGTGAACCAGTTACCAGAAATAATGGCTAAATACAAACAGGGCTCCAGCAATAGCATCAATAAGTTAATTTTCTGGGAGCACCTAAGTAATTCAAAATGTTAGAAAGATACAAAAACAGCAAAACATATACAAAACATTATCAACATTTATTTAAAATGTAGTTTCGCATTACCACTGATGGCATCGTATTCTTGCTGCCTGGTGGAATAAGAACTCGGAGATCTGGTTTACGGTTATTCATCCCTAAATTCATGGGGGGAGGAGATTTTGCTTGCATATTCTTGTTCAAGTTACCAGGTGAGACCAGCAGACCTGGTGAGTTTCGGGGATTGCCATATCCGTTCCCTGTCAACACAAAACAATGAGAGCATTCAGGAAGAAATCTAGATTCAAGTACGTTTCTAGAGAATACACTATAAGAGATTAAAAATCAAAGCTTAACAGGGTAAGACATACAACAAAGTCTGTAGGATGACTAACAGCCTCCATGTGAAGACTAACCCGGCCAGTTAGTTTTTAAATATTCTCTGAAGGAAGACGAAAGATGTTTTAATGAGAAGAGCTAATATATACCAACTTGCTCAGAAATCGACGTATACTTTTATTCTATGAAAAAAAAAATTCAGGAAGAAAGTCAGACTGTTGTTCAGGGTCTAAGAAAAGCACAGAATCGGTTCTGCACTTCAATTGACTAGCTTGGCAAAGGTCTGACTGGCGTGACTCACTCTTTCAGTTCAATGGTTTGGGTTTTATTTTGTGTGTCTGTGTGTCTTCAAGTGAAGAAAGGGCATACCAGTGAGACTATAATTTCTAGGACCTGCAGGAGGGGTAGCCTCTTCCACAGTTTGTTGCTGAGTTCCCCTTTCCTTGGAGTGGTTTCTCTTTATGGTTTTCATCCGTCTGGTTTGCCCTCCTCCCAAGTTCAGCGTATGACCCTGAAGGCTTGCTCTCCTTCAAAAGCAGCAGGACTCCTTCTTAAGAGCTGAAATGAAGGTATGTTGCCTCCACTGTGATGCCGATTCACCAAGGTACAAGAAGAGTCATCTAATAGGGACATTGAAAGGGTTCCTGTAGATAGCTGATGTTTAACCCGCGACTAAAAGAACCGGCTATCTGAAGGATGCCATTTCTCATAATTCAAAATACATTGCTCCATGACAGGAAGAGCTATGGAGGGAGTTGGTACAACCATAGCTGAGGCAGAACATCATCTGCTGGTTTTTTTCTGCTGACTCTCACTGCAGAGGAATAGAGACCCGCTCTCCAATTTGACAATCCTTGCTGGAAAACTAGACAGTTGTTTTCTGAAGTTCTCTAAAGGAGACAGTCAAACCTCGCTGTTACGGTCAGTCATCATTATCATTATCCTAAAACACAAGTGTCTATTACCCCAGGACGAATGATACTGTGTGCTACCCTGTGGGGAGGCAAGGACTTGGCCCCAGTCCTCAAACGCCCTGCAATTCCTTTGTGGTAATCCAATACACACATGTGAAATGTCCAAACCAGGACAATGTGGCCTCAGGGCAGGTGCCTACAGAGAGATGCCATCCAGCTTAAGTGTTACTGAGCTCCTAGGAGGGAACAGATTATCCAGTGAAGATTCACCTAAGAGGCAGGAGTTGATGTGGGCCTTGAAAAAGGAGAAGAGATAGTAAGACATGCTGAGCTTGTGACAGGGCTCCGGGAAAGGGCTGAGGTGGGAATTTACAGAGCACAATCAGGGACACTGTGAGCAAACTGGCTAGTAGGGAACTCATGAAAAGAGAGGAGAGTCAAAGACCTTAGAAGGACATGGAGAACTTGACTTCCAGGCTGATACATCTTGGATTTAAATGGTAGAAATGCAGACCCAAGAGGGTCACAGAGCAGAGGCCGAACACAGGCCTCTAAGGGGACGGAGAGATATACTGGCATTGGGATATCCTGTAATTTGGAAGGTCTGGGAGTATGAAGCAGTCTGGAAACTATGGTGATGGCCTGAGCTAAAGATGAGGAGGGAGTGGGAAGGCAAAGCACAGGTATATTTCAGGAAATATTTATGGAAACCTCTTTTGAATTTAAATACATTTGAGGCAAACTGTGTAGAGCACATTTGTTCTTCATATCCCATTCATTTACCTGTCTCATTTTATGCATGAATAAACAGGCTGAATATATAACAAATAACTACAAGATTAAATCTGTCAATTGGGTCATCCGTAAAATTCTCCAAGTTACTGGGAGAAAAATAAAAATAAACGAACCCCCCACCCCCACCAAAACATGTGTCAAGGACACAGTAGTTTCTTAGGAAATGTTGGTTGAATTTGAATATAAATTACTCTTCTATAATAAAGCTTCACTGAAAGTCACTAAATTCTCTACAGCTGGCTAAATATGTCAAAAGCCAAAATTTTTTTTTCCAGTTAATTTGGACAGTTTTTGGTGGCAAAATTTACTATGTGAAACAAATACATTTATCTAGTATCAGTAGGAGAGATACAAAGAATTTGCTTACTTAGAAAAATGCTTGAAAAAGTAAATTTATATTTAATATGTCTTAACTGAATCATTCTTGTGAATATGTTAAGGCTCTAGTTTTAATTAATAGATTCTACTGGATAAAAAGAGGCTGAGAAATCCAAGACAAAATTTGCCCTATATTTTCCTGTCAGCTGAAGTTCAGTCTGATACACTCAATACATATGTCACTTATCTCTTAAGCCTGCGTGAGATCTGGTTTAAATAAACAATTAAATGGAAAATTAGGTGGGTAATTTCAAAAGAAGGGGGGAAAAAGTCAGTTAAGCAGTGCAGTGAAGCTTGAATAGATCAGAGGAAACTAAAACTCTTGCTTGGTAGATGCCAATACTGGTTTGCATGGAGGAGTTATTTTGCTAAAAGGAAGTAAAACTGCTTTGTGAAATGTGTTGTCCTGTGATATGACAAGCACTGGGCCAGTGTGTGAAAATGGAAATGCTTCACGGATGCTCTGAGAAAAGGTTTTTTTGAAAATTAAAAAAAAAAAAATTTTTCTACAGTAAACTCTCTGAGAAATTCCAACAAAAACCTACATCTTTCTGCCCACATTTTTAAACAATTATCTAGGGCAGCAGGAAAAAAAACAAAACGGTAAACATACATTATAGTTTTTCATCCAATAAATGCCTCAAAACTAAAAAAAAAAAAAAAAGGTTTGAAAGCATTCTATTTTTCTCTTGGAATATTTCCTGTTATTTGGAAATTATGCCATTTTAGAAAATTAGTCACATATTTTAAGGTGTTTCCATATTGAACATAAAATATTTTGAACCACGATGACACTTCTTAAATTCATATTTTTAGAGCATGAAGTTATTTTTAAGAACAAATAAATTCTGCCTTTTACCGGTGAATTTCTGCTGTTTTTAGCATATTGTGCCAGCTAGCATTTTGGAGCCGTATAATAACCATTTCTGTTTCCAGCCACCAAGTTGTTATTCTTTTGGCATAATATAGATTCAGGAATGCAAGACTGTGGATCCTAAACCAGTGATATAGAAACCTATCATTTGAAAATCAATGATGAATACATGCGTGTGGTTTACTGCTAAGAAGAGCCTGCATTTAAACGGGCTTTGAAACCGCGGGCCTCCTCCTCACTCAGAACGCTGTGGCCTGCGTGGAGGCTGTTGTCCTACCTTAAGATAAATTCACGGAAGAGAATGGTCTCATTCAAAGTCAGAGGTCAGGGAGGTGGGAAATGCCAGCTCTCAATAACCTTCTAATATACATATTCAACCTTTCTTCATGCTGTGTTTTAAAGTTACCCTCCGCCTGGACCACTATCGATTCAGATGTGACTTTATGCAGATGTCACAGTCCTCTGACCACTTAAAAGCACAAAAATTATAAAGCATGAGTGAATGGATTTCCTGATTATAGATTATAAGAAATGAAGAACAGACCGACTTTAGAGTCAGTTTGTTTTATAGTTTGATTTGATTAAAAATATTGTTTCACATAAAATAAAACAATTTAAGCATTCACAATATAATTTGTAGGAAGGATAACAGCATCGACCTCGATTGGTTACAAGTTTCTAAACATTCATATTAAAACTAGTGTAAATATACAAAACTTGAAATGTGGTGTTAGGAGAAAAAATTTTTTTTCTCTCCAGTTAACTTGAAAACACTTGCTGCTTTTTTTTTTTTTTTTTTTGACTCCTATTTTAAGAAGTTGTAAATTCAAAGAACATATTCCTGGCTTAAGATGTTGTGAGAAGGACATTTTGCCTTGTCTCACAGAGCGCAATTGAGCATGTAGCTAGCTCTCTCTGAGCCCAAAGTTCTAAAACTTCCTCTTACTTGGATGTTTAGACATGAATCTCTTCACTTTCCCCCTAGGCCTTCCATTATAAATACAAGCATACAAAACTAATAAGCACAAAACAGATACTAGTCTTTATGAACCACAGCTAATTTTTTTCATGGGCAACATTTTTTCTTCAGTCTCCTGAATTGTCCTCTTTGACTATCCCCACTTCCTCTTCCAGCTCCCTATCCAATCAGATACCAAATCTCTTTTTCTTCAGAGATGCCTCCCTCCATCCCCGCTGCCACCATCCTAAGGAAGGCTTTCATCGCCATTTGACTTGGTCTTTTATCAGGGTCCCTGGTCTCCAGTGGTAGGGTTCTTCACCAGACCTTAAGACTGGTTTCACGAAGATCGTGAGCTCCTTAAAGCTGTATGCAAACTTCTGTGCACGTGTGTGACAATAAATCTAACGTAGTCTCAAGAATTTCTCTAAAATTTTTTCTAAAGGGCTGTTTCTGTTATGTTACTTTTTCAGACCATACTTAACACTGTTGGGTCAGTGCCCTGCTTGGATCTCAGAACTGCACATAGTCTGACTCCCTCTGTTTCACCTAATTCCCAATATCTACAGCCAACCTCACAGCCCTCTGGATATACCTGTGTCTTTGCTCTAGCAGTGTTTGCTCTCTTCTTGTTTTTTTTTGTTTTTTTTTTTTTAATATTTTATTTATTTGAGAGAGAGAGAGAGAGAGAGAGAGAGCAGGGGCGGGGGGGTGGCGAGTGGGGCAGAGGGAGAGGGAGAAGCAGACTCCCTGCTGAGCAGGGAACCCGATGTGGGGCTTGATCCCAGGATCCCGGGATCATCACCTGAGCCAAAGGCAGACACTTAACTGAATGAGCCATCCAAGCACCCTGCTCTCCTGTTTAATTCAAATTCATTTTTTTAGAAGATTTTATTTATTTGACACAAAGAGAGAGAGAGATCACAAGTAGCAGAGAGGCAGGCAGAGAGGGAGGGGGAAGCAGGCTCCCTGCTGAGCAGAGAGCCCCATGTGGGGCTTGAT